ACCAATTCAATTCATCAACCATGAACTAAATACCCATTACGTACTAGGGGCTATAGTAAGACACAGTCCTGGCCCTCAAATTGTTGCCAGTTCAGCAGGTATGAAACAGAGCTACAAAATGTGAACAGCTCTAGAATAATGACAAGAACAGTGCTTTATAAGTCCTGAATATAAAGCAATTAATTTTGCTAGAGGTGGGGAAGGGAAGAAGGCTCTATGGTTGGTGGTAACCTTTCAGTTGAACTTTGCAGGCCATGCAGATTTTGCAAGGAGAGAAGGGAAACAATATTTAAAAGAGGGAACTGGATGAGAAAAGCAAAAGGGCACAAAGGTGCATGATGTGTTCAGATATTGGAATATAAGCTATGTTTGTTTTTTAGCTAGATTCTCAATGCTTAGAAGAGTGCTCAGCTCTTAGTAGATACTCAGTAAACCTTAGCTACATGGAAGAATTTACAAGTATATCAATGCGGTAAGGAAGTAGGAAATGTTACAAGAGAACATACAAGTAGGATATGTTACAAGTAGGGTATGTTACAAGCTGGAAAGGGGGCTGGTGGCCAGATGATAACAGCCTTAGTCCAAAGGGTCTCAGCTTAGACTGGCAGACACCAGGGAGCCATTTAAAGGGCTAAAGGAAGGTCCTAATGCAATCAGAGCTGTGTTTCAGAAACAACTGTAATGGCTTTGAAGAATATGGTACTGAAACAGTGTCTTTCATGAGCTAAATGGAGGGGAACACATAAGAAAAGGATAGGGTGTTAAGATCTTTCACCTGCCCTGAACATGAGAGACAGACAGACAGACAGAAAAGGTAGAAAGGTAGAGGTATGTTCAAGTAATACTGGCTTACAGATTCAGTTATCTGTGCTAGGCAGGATAAGAAGTGAGGAATAGGGATCCCCTGGTGGCACAGTGGTTGAGAGTCTGCCTGCCGATGCAGGGGACATGGGTTTGTGCCCCGGTCCGGGAAGATCCCACATGCCGCGGAGCGGCTGGGCCCGTGAGCCATGGCCGCGGAGCCTGTGCGTCTGGAGCCTGTGCTCCGCAGCGGGAGAGGCCACAACAGTGAGAGGCCCGCGTACCGCAAAAAAAAAAAATGTGAGGAATGTAAGTGGGTTGTAGGAGGACATAAGTGTGCAAAGCGTGCTTATTCCAAAGCAAGGAACCAAAAGGAGAAGGATGAAGGAGAAACTAGTAGCAAAAGTTACCCAAACTGAACTATAATACTCAGAATTCTGTAGCATAAGAAAGAAAACTGGCAGCTCTTTCAATGTAAGCACAGACTCCTTGGTAACTTACTCTGTCTGTCAAAGTATAACAGGAATGAACAGGAAAAGACAGAGAGGTAGAGACCACATAATCTGATGACCTATTAGATTTAGAGGGTAGGGAGGAAGGAAGAATTAAAAAAGTATGAAATTATAAGGTTAGGTAACTGGGAGTATTATGATTCTGTCAAACTAGGTAGGGAACACCAGATCAGGACACAGATTTGAGGGAGGAAAACGGGCACAGTTTTGAATACGTTGAATGTGGTACCTGCAGGGTGTCCAGCTTAAAATGAAGCTCAGAAAGAAGTCAATGCCTCACAAAGATCTGAGGGTCATGAGCCAAATAGATAGAAGTAGAAACCACTGGGAAAGAGGTCATCTACAGAGCAGCTTCGAAGTGAGAAGGGGGCCAAGGACAGAGCCTTGGAGATTATGTATTAACACTTCAGAAGGACAGGTAAGAGACTGTAAAGGAGATTCAAAAAGAACAGTAAGAAAAACTGGTGGCGAAAAGAAGTGGAGATAGAGGTGAGTAACAATGATGAGAGTACACCCCTCTACAGCGTGACCACCACAGGTCAGTCTCTGCTCACAGTAACCCCACGAGCTGGTGCTGTAAAGATCCTCACCCCGTACGGGAAGCAGCGAAGGAAAGAGAACCTACGCAATGTGCTGAAGGTCACGCAACTGGTACATGGTAGAAGCAGACTGTGAACCAGAACCTAGGCAGTCTCTCCAGGACACGAGTTTCAGAGAAGAAAAGAGTAGCCAACAGTGTTAGGTGTTGCAAAGTGGCACAGTAAGATCTGAGGTCCTCGAGTTTGGCCTTGAGGAGGCCACTGACAGCCGTCAATCAGAACAGAGAGGGTTAAAAAGTCAGTAACAAGTGGAAAGGCAAGCTACAGCAGAAATTTTTTGCAAACAGTGTATCTGATAAGGGACTATCTAGAATACACAAAGAGCTATTACAACTCAATATAAAAAGACAAACAGCCCAATTTAAGAAAACAGGTAAAGGATCTGAATAGACAGTTCTCCAGAGAAGATACACAAATGGCTATAAGCAGCGGTCCCCAACCTTTTTGGCACCAGGGACCGGTTTCGTGGAAGACAATGTTTCCATGGATTGGGGTGGGGGAGGCGGGGGGAGGATGGTTCAGGCGGTGACCTGAGCGACGGGGAGCGGCAGGTGAAGCCTCGCTCACTCCCGGCCGCTCACCTCCTGCTGTGCGGCCTGGTTCCTAACAGGCTGCGGACCGAGAGCTATAAGCACTTGAGAAGATGCTCAGCATCATTAGCCATCAGAGAAATGCAGATCAAAACCATGAGACACTCCATACCCACAAGGACAACTATAATCAAAAAGTCAGATAATAGCAAGTATTGGTGAACATGTAGAAATTGAAACCCTCATACGCTGCTGGTGGGAATGTAAAATGGTACGGTCACTTTGCAAAACAGTTTGACAGCTGCTCAAATGGTTAAATACAGAGGTACCATATAACCCAGCAATTCAACTCCTAGGTATATATCCAAGAGAAATGAAAACATGCCCACATGAAGGCTTGTACATGAATGTTCATAACAGCATTACTTATAATAGCCCCCAAACAGGAACCCAAATGTCCTTCAAGCAATGAATGGATAAATTAAATGGGATATATCCATACAATGGAATATTTGGCAATAAAAAAAATGAAGTATTGATACGTGCTACAGCATGAATGAACCTTGAAAACATTATGTTAAATGCAGGAAGCCAATCATAAAGGCTCACATAAATATTGTACGATTCCATTCATATGAAATGTCCCAATAGGTAAATCTATTGAGACAGAAAGTAGATTAGTGGTCGCCTAGGGTTAGCGGGGAAAAGAGATGGGGAGGTTTGGGGGGTGATGGCTAAGCAGTATGGGGTTCTTTTTAGGGTAATGAAAATGTGCTACCATCTCCACAAAAAGTTTTAGAATAATTCTGAGAGGGTGCAAAAACCTTTGAATTGTACAGTTTAAATTGTTGAATTGTAGGGTATGTGAATTATATGTCAATAAAGCCGTCTTTAAAAAGTTAGTGGGAAATGAAGTAGAAGGAAAAGACAGGAAATGCTTGAGTGGGGATGGAAGACGTAAGAAAGATTTCGGAAGGTTAAGGAAGATCTGAATAGGTTTATTGATTAAGATAAAGCAGTGGAAAAACAGTGCTTGATACAAAAACAACATCAGAGAGCTTCCCTGGTGGCGCAGTGGTTGAGAGTCCGCCTGCCGATGCAGGGGACACAGGTTCGTGCCCCGGTCCGGGAAGATCCCACGTGCCGCAGAGCGGCTGGGTCCGTGAGCCATGGCCGCTGAGCCTGCGCGTCCGGAGCCTGTGTTCCGCAACGGGAGAGGCCACAACAGTGAGAGGCCCGTGTACCGCAAAAAAAAAAAAAAAAAAAGGACATCAGAGATTAAGCAAAGTCCTAAAGCGGATGGGTAGGAAGAAAAAAGAAAAATGGTGACACCTCTGAAAGAATGAACAAAGATACAGATAACTGGTGTGAAGGTAAGTTGAAAGTTCATCCTTGAAGGATCCAGTGAGGCAGAAGTCTGCAGCTGAATATGAGAGGGTGAGGGAAGGGATACAGTCAGAAGTCCAGAAAAGTAATAAAATTTGGGGAAACTGATGACAAAAATGGAAGGAGCAAGCAAAAGATAAAAAGCTTGTCAAGTAGAACTGAGCAGTGCAAGAATAGAAATAATATGTAACGGAACCAAGAAGTGTGATTATATGACACCTGTGGCTAGACTGGTCAGGCCCGGGTTTATAAACTGAATTGGCAGATGACAGGGTTGTTTTGGGGTTGAAGGCTGCTGAGAGTGTAGGTGAAATGCTTCATCATAAAATCCCACTGAGTGGGGAAGTCAGTGATACCAAAAAGAAGATGGATGTTTCAAAGGAAGAATGGGATTTAATGACTGAATCCATATGGAGGATGAAAAAGAAGGAAAACAAAGAATTAAGCAGGATTCCTGATTCATTCATCTGCAAGAATGGACAGATTAATTAATTGAAACAGAGTTCTTGTAGAGGAAGTAGGCTACAGAAAACTGAATTACTCAAAAATACATTGTAAGGTTTAGATTGAAAGAGCTTCTTGAAGAACAACCCTGTAGAGGAACAGAAACAAAGTGAGGCCCAGAGAAGTTAAATGACTTTACTGAAGTCATGAGGTTCTAGACGAAGCCTAGAAATGACTGTGAACTCCAGGCCATTTTATTGCACAACAGAACCTCACTGCTAGCAGGAGTTTGACAGGATGGCAGGAAAAACAAACGGTGATGCTTCTTGAGGAGATTCAGTACCACTAAAATTGGCTTGAACTTCTAGGTTCATCTCAGGTGATAGTGGGGAAATATGATTCAGGAACAAAATGAATGACAGGAGAAGCCAATCTCAGATAAAACATTTGCTCTGGTAATCCACCTGGAGATAATCAAGAGTTGGATGTAGAATGATATTGATATAAGCACCTTGAAATATTCTAATATAAGAACATTTTATGCTTCAAAATCCTCTCAATGTTATTTGGCAAAACAGATGATAGGACACAACTTTATTATGGCCAAGAATTTTAACCATTAAGAAGAGTTCTGCTTACTTTTAAGGTTCTTTTTATGTCACAGAAATATGAAATACTGAATTGAAGTCTGATTAGGTCTCTTTTAAGGGTCTAGATATTTGCCTTACCTTTTCTACCTTGTAGTCACACAAGTATTCCACCTCATAATTGTTTAGATTCCTTTTGGTGATTCCAATCGATTTACATGTGAGCTTTTCTTTTCTACATAATTCCTGAAGAGTATCAAGTGAAACTAGGCAAGGCACACACCAAGCTACAATAAGAAAATAGAATTCTTTACTAGTGAAATAGCTACTCAATTAAAATAAAACAAAACAAAAAACCAAAAGAAAAAAAAGGGGAAAACTCAAGACAGCTATATCCCCACCCTTCAAGTGGCAATTTTATAAGACTAAAAATTCATATGACAAGAAACCATGTACACGTCTTTAAGAAAAAGTTAACCATTAAAGAACTCTCTTGGTAAATTGGTCTTCCTGGATTTTCTCATGGGTCTCTATCCTACATGTTTAACTGATGTCAATTTCCACTAGGTCCCCTGAACAAAATGTTTCATGTCTATAAGCTTGCATTAGATTACATATAGATGCAAAAGTCGAGATAATATTTTTGACTTTTTCATTGTATTCTACACAGAATTGCTCATTTAATAAAATGTAGATCTCAAGGACACGCTCATTATTGTTAGAAATACATCTTAAATATATTTTAAAATAATCTTACATTGTTAAAAAGTAACAATGTAAGATTCTTAGTTGAACAATAAGAACTGAAATCTAATTGAAATCTAATTCTATAGTTACATACTCATACATCACATGGCCTACTTTTCCCATTTTGGAAGGCTGCATAAAATTTTAACTCCGATTTTGCCCATGCTGCAATGTATTATTATCAAGGTCAATAAACCCAGGAGTTAAAATAAAACAACGGAGAGTATATTGAGTTTTGTTACTACTCATTTCCTGTATTGCTTTCAAAGCCAAGAATGACAATACAGAGAGTATTCAATTTACATAATCCACACACCAAGCTTGAAGAAAGTCAGCCGTCCTCATGATCAACCTTGTAGAAGCCAATAACTAACTCTGCTGCGGAAGGTTTTACCCTCAAGTTCCCGTAAACAGTATGCTACCATACTGCATTTAAAGTATGTTAACACAAACTGATATTTAGAAACAGGTAATGAACCTGGCTTTATGGCTAGCGCTAGTAGAAGCATCAGGGAGGATCAAGAGGTCCTCTGCCCCAGCCTCCGCCAGGCCACCGAGCTGCATGATTTTAGGGAGGTTTCCATCTTTCTGGGTTTCAGCTTCGCTGAAAAAAATGGCAGGGTTGGAGTAAACTGGGATTACCAAACAAGATTTATCAGTAAACGCTGGCTTTACTTGGTAGCTCTCCAAGGTAGTGGTGATAACCTTTTGGGTTGGAGGTAATTTCCAGAGAGGAGAGAACAGCTGGTCTTCCTATAATCTCCCCTCGCCCTCCCCATCTCACACCGGGATTTCACGGTCAGAAAGCCTCAAGTACGATTTCCACACGTGCCTCCAACCCCTTCCAAAAAAGGATGCATGATTCTAGACCAAGAAAGTGAAAAGGATTTTCCCCCAAAATATCTGGGGGGAGAGCCTGCTGGTTTTGGAGTGGTGGTTTGGGGGGAGGGGAGTGGCAGAATAGAAACGACCCCTTAAGTCCCTTGTATTGAAATAACCTCAGGATGTTTTGTGTAAAAGGTAACCTCATTATGCTGATCACATGCAGAGGAGGTTCCTCTGGGCTATCTACCCAGCATGGATTTGTCTACCGTTCCTACCATTTTCACCCAGTCCGAGTTACACGAGGATTCAAGACGCGACCCTCCACGGAAATGCTGTTTTGGGGAATAAGAAAACTTGGAACATAAAAAACTGCAAACCCCCTGCCCCCGCGGCAGAAAAATAATTCATTGGTAAGATTAAACATTTCATGACCACCACGAAAACTTGACACTAGTTCCACACTAACCCCTAGCGGAGGAAAAGTTGGGGGGTAATGAATCCATAATCCACGCAGAGAGGCGCAGCGCTGGAAAATACCTTTCAATTCTATAAGGCAGTGAAAGTTCCCGTCCTTCAGCGCGCGCACAAACACACGTTAGGCACCGAATTCTTCGGCGTCCACATAAATACCTCGCAAATTACCGGGGTGGGAGGGAACCGATTCCCGTAAGCCAGGGGCTGCCGCCGCCAGTACCCACTTACTGGGGTTCTCTGCAACGGGGAACCGCCCCTCCCGGTGCGTCCGCATCGGGGTGCATCCTCACTCATTTCCTCGCTTAGCCTTCACACCTCTGCCCCGACCTCTCTCCGCTACTCTGACACTGTGGTCACACTCGCCCCACGGGGTCCTCCCGCTCCCCAGTTCCGAAGCCAGCCCGACCGCAAACGTCCCGCTCAAACCACCACAAAGGAGTCGCGCCCCCAGCGTGCCCACGGACCTCGAGCCGCGCCGGGCTCCGCCGGGGCCGCCCGGACGCCACCGCACGGCTGCCCCGCGGGGAGGGGGCTCGGGCGCGGCGGGCGGCGGGGGCCGGGCCGCCGGGTCGGCGGGCCGGCAGCGGTAGGCGCGGGCCGGGCCTCGCGGGGGTCGGGCGCGGGAGGGGACTGAGGGCAGCGGGCGGGCCGAGCCGCGAGGAGGGTCAGGGGCCGGGGGCAGGGAGGAGCCCGAGGCGCGCGTCTGGGGGCCGCGGTGTCAGTGGCGCGGGAGGCGGCGTCTCGCCGCGTCGCGCTCCGGCCGGCCCGCGCGTCCCGGCCCCGCTTCCCGGGCCTCGGGAGTTTGCCCGGCGGACGGGGGACAGTGCGGGGCGCCGCTCTCCAGCCCTCACCTCCTCGCGCCTCGGCCCCGGCCGCCGCCATCTTGAGGAGCTTTCATTCAAACTGGCGCGGTCTGACCGGATAGCTCAGCTGGCCTGACGCCCCGCCCCAGCCCGGCCCGCGCGGAACTCGGGGGCCGGGGCGGGGGACTAACCCGCGAGGCGTCCTGACGTCAGCGGAGGCCGACACAGCCGCGGCGGCGAGTGCGCCTGCGCCCCAAGTCTCCTCCGGGCGCTCGGAGGGGCGGGGCGCGGGGGTGGGGAGCGCTACCCTAGGTGAAGGGCCACCTGCCCTGGCCTGGCTGGCTTAGCGCCTGATTCAGGGTACCGACATTAGGCCTTCCCACTCTTGTTAGTTCTTCTACACGGGCGCTACGTGTACGTTGTGCAAAATTGCAAACGCAGAGCGGAGCTATGCGGTGCAGAGTACGTTTCGCTCTCATACCTGCTTCTCAGCCACCTGAGCCCAACTGGCCATTGTTAACGTTTCCGTCCACCCTACGCCCCTAGATCACAGGTTCTCAAAATTGGCTGCACGTTGGGATCACTTACAGGTTTTGTATTTTGGTTTCACTCTCGGAGATTTGATAGGAATGGGGTGCAACCGGGACGTTGGAATTTTTTAAAGCTCCCCAGGTGATTCTAAGTGTGCAATTTGAAACCACTGTTCTAGATCAGTGCTTCTCACACTTGAATGGGCAGAGGAGTCTGGGCATCTGGTTAACATGCAGGTTCGAATTAGGTAGGTCTGGACTGGGACCTGAGGTTCTGCGTTTCTGACGAGCTCCCAGGCTACGTCCCACACCGGTAGCCGGGCTGCGGGATGCCCAGGTCCTCTCACCGGGCCCACACCGGTCTCCACCCCCCAGCCCGCCCCCACCAGCCGTCGCACCGCATCCATGGTGATTGTTCTAAACAATCTGAGGCGGAAGTCTGCCAAGAGTAAATTGCGAAAGTTCGGTAGAAAGCTGTTTGACGTCTACCAAGGATTTTTAAAAGAAATTTGTGCAAAATACAAAAATATTTTAAAGCATCCTGTGTAAGTTTGACATGTTGGAAATAAACACAGAACATTAAAGGAATTAATTTGTTTTGATTACGTTATGAAATAGTGTCTAGTCATTTAAAAAGATGTTTATGAAGCCTTTGGTGTCATGGAGAAGTGTTTAACAAAACTTCTTAAGGAAAACATATAAAAACAAAAAGCTGTAAACATAGTTTCAACTATGTAAGGAAATGTATAGGAAGATAGATAATAAGATCTCTGGGAAGTAGTTTCCTTTTTGACTTCTTGTTTTTACATATTTTCTATAATGAGCATCTTATATAATAAGGAATAAAAAGTCCTCCAACCCCATTACATGGAAGGCCCTTTGTGATATGGTGATTCCTGCCCACTTCTCAAGCCTCATTGCTCATCATCCCCTCCTGTTCTAATTCGTAACTTCCTCGAATATTCATTTCCCTGCTCCGTGTCTGCAGGACTGTTCTCTCTGCCTAGAAAATGCCTACACTCCCCGTCTGTGCTAGGATTACTCCTACAGACCCTTTAAGACTTGGACAGAGGCTCACCTCCAGCCAAGCCTCTTTCTGGGGCTTCTTCCCCGCCCCCGAATGTACTCTCTGCTCTTCGTATGTGTTCTTACACCTAGGAAGGAGGAGAGCATCCATCCTCACCAACTGCCCTCCTGGTTTTCCCCCCACCTCACTGGCCACTCTTCACTCCCCCTTCTGGCTCCCTTTCCTCTATCCAACCTAAATGCTGGGGTTCCTCAAGGCTTGGCCTTGAGACATTTCTCTTATGCTTTTTCCCTAAGTGACTGCCTCAATTCCCATGAACTTAAATATCTTTATGGTTAAGATTCCCAACTTTTTGTCTCCAGCCCTGACCTCTACTCCGAATTCCAGACTTGAATATCCACGGTGTCTAGCTGACACATCCACTTAGGTGTTAAACAAACATCTCAAATTGAACATACCCCTTATTTACCTGGGATAAGTTCCAAGACCCCCAGTGGATGCCTGAAACCACAGATAGTACTGAACCCTATATATACTATGGTTTTTCCTATACATACATGCCTATGATAAAGTTTATTTTACCAATTAGGCACAGTAAGGGATTAACAACAATAATAGAACAGTTATACTGTAATGAAAGTTATGTGAATGTGGTCTCTCTCAAAATATCTTGTATGACTACTCACTGTGTTCATAACTTTTGCAGTTTGAGGTGCGACAGCAAAACTAGCACAAATTTCTTTTTCCTATTTGTTTTTACTGAAGATGGTGGCAACCTCAGCATATGACTTTTTCCCTTTCCTTACTGTCGAGAACTTTCACCCTTTCACTTAAAGGAAGTACTTTATGGATTCTCTTTGGCATGTATGAATTGC